CATCAAAAGAAGATGGAAGGAATACACAGAGTCAATATACCAAAAGAAATTGGTGGACGTTCAGTCATTTCAGTAGTTGACATATGATCAGGAACTGATAGTACTGAAGAAAGAAGTCGAAGCTGCACTGAAGGCATTGGTGAAAAACAAGGCTCCAGGAATTGACAGAGTACCAATTGAGATGCTTCAACAAATAGATGCGGCACTGGGAGTGCTCACTTGTCTATGCCAAAAAATTTGGAAGACAGCTACCTGGCCAACGGACTGGAAGAGATCCATATTTATGCCTATTCCCAAGAAAGGTGATCCAGTCGAACGTGGAAATTGTCAAACAATATCATTAATATCACATGCAAGCAAAATTTTGCTGAAGATCATTCAAAAGCGGCTGCCGCAGTAGGAACCGCCAGAAATTCAAGCCAGATTTAGAAGAGAACGTGGAACCAGGGATATCATTGCTTATGTCAGATGGATCCTGGCTGAAAGCAGAGAATACCAGAAAGATATTTACCTCTGTTTTATTGACTATGCTAAGGCATTTAACTGTGTGGATCATAACAAATTATGGATAACATTGTAAAGAATAGGAATTCCGGAACACTTAATTGTGCTCATGAGGAATCTGTACATGGTTCAAACACAATAATGGGATACTGCATGGTTTAAAGTCAGGAAAGCTGTGCGTCAGGGTTGTATCCTTTCACCATACCTATTCAACCTGTATGCTGAGCAAATAATCTGAGAAGCTGGACTATATGAAGAATGGGGCGCCAGGATTGGAGGAAGATTCATTAACAACCTGCGTTATGCAGATGACACAAACTTGCCTGCTAAAAGTGAAGAGGACTTGAAGCACTTACTGATAAAGATCAAAGACCACAGCCTTCAGTATGGATTACACCTCAACATAAAGAAAATAAAAATCCTCACAACTTGACCAATGAGCAACATCATGATAAACGGAGAAACGTTTGAGGTTGTCAAGGATTTCATTTTACTTGGATCCACAAATCCACAATCAACCCCCATAGAAGCAGCAGTTAAGAAATCAAAAGATGCATTGCATTGGGCAAATCAGCTGCAAAGATCTCTTTAAAGTGTTGAAAAGCAAAGATGTCACCTTGAGGATTAAGGTGCACCTGACCCAAGCCATCGTGTTTTCAGTTGCCTCATATGCATGCAAAAGCTGGACGATGAATAAGGAAGACCGAAGAAGAACTGACGCCTTTGAATTGTGGTGTGGGCAAAGAATATTGAGTACACTGTGGACTGCCAAGAGAACGAACAAATCTGTCTTGGAAGAAGTACAACCAGAATGCTCCTTGGAGGCAAGGATGGCGAGACTACGTCTCACATACTTTGGACACGTTATCAGGAGGGATGAGTCCCTGGAGAAGGACATCATGCTTGGTAAAGTAGAGGGTCAACGAAAAAGAGGAAGACCCTCAGCGAGATGGACTGACACAGGGGCTGCAACAATGGGCTCAAACACAGCAACAATTGTGGGGATGGCGCAGGACCAGGCAGGGTTTCATTCTGTTGTGCACAGGGTCGCTATGAGTCGGAACTGACTCGAAGGCACCTAACAACAACAACAACGACAACAAAGAAGACCAGATAACACGACTATCATTCAAATTTACATACCAACCACTAATGCCAAAGCTGAGGTAATTGATGATTTTTACCAACTTCTGCAGCCTGAAATTGCTCAAACATGCAATGAATATGCATTGATCGTTACTGGTGATTGGAATGTAAAAGTTGGAAATGAAAGGATCCTTAGTTTGAAAATACGGCCTTGGTGATAAAAATGATGCCGAAGATCACATGACAGAATTTTGCAAGACCAACGACTTCTTCATTGCAAATACCTTTTTTCAACAACATAAACGGCGACTATATGCATGGGCCTCACTGGATGAAAAAAACAGGAATCAAATCGACTACATCTGCGGAAAGAGACGATGGAAAAGCTCAATATCATCAGTCAGAACAAGGTCAGGGGCCGACTGCGGAACATACCATCAATTGCTCATATGCAAATTGAAGTTGAAGCTGAAGAAAATTAAAATAAGTCCACGAGAGCCAAAACAGACCTTGAGTATATGTCATCTGTATCTGGAGATCATTTCAAGAGCAGATTTGACGCTTGAACGCTAATGACTAAAGACCAGACGAGTTGCGGGATGACATCAAGGACATCATACATGAAGAGAGCACAAGGTCATTAAAAAGACAGAAAAGAAAAAAAACATCAAAATGGATGTCAGAAGAGACTCTGAAACTTACTCTTGAACGTGGACTAGCTAAATAAAGCAAATGGAAGAAACGAAATAAAAGAGCTGAACAGAGATTTCAAAGGGTGGCTTGAAAAGACAAAGTATCATAGTGAAACGTGCAAAGACCTGGAGTTAGAAAACCACAAAGGAAGAACACGCTCAGAATTTCTCAAGCTGAAAGAAATGAAGAAAAAATTCAAGCCTCGCATTGTAATTCTGAAGGATTCTATGGGCAAAATATTGAACGACACAGGACACTTCAAAAGAAGATGGAAGGAATACACACAATCACTGTACTCGACATTCAACCATTTCAGCAGGTAGCATATGAGACGTTCAGCCATTTCAGGGGGTAGCATATGATCAAGAACCCATGGTACTGAAGGAAGAAGTCCAAGCTGGACTGAAGGCATTGGTGAAAAACAAAGATTCAGGAATTGATGGAATACCAATAGACATGTTTCAACAGACGGATGCAGTGTGGGAGGTGCTCATTTGTTTATGCCAAGAAACTCGGCAGACAGCTACCTGGCCCACTGACTGGAAGAGATCCATATTTTTGCCTGTTCCAAAGAAAGGTGATCCAACAGGATGCGGAAATTATCGAACAATATCAATATTACAAGCAAGTAAACTTTTCCTGAAGACAACTCAAAAGCGGCTACAGCAGTACTTCAACAGGGAACTGTCAGAAATTCAAGCCGGATTCAGAAGAGGATGGGGAACGAGGGATAGCATTGCTGATGTCAGAAGGATCTTGGCTGAAAGGAGAGAGTACCAGAAAGATGTTTGCCTGTGCTTTACTGACTATGCAAAGGTATTTGACTGTGTGGATCATAACAAATTATGGATAACATTGCGAAGAATGGGAATTCTAGAACACTTCATTGTGCTCATGTGGAACCTCTACATAGCCCAAGAGGCAGTCGTTTGAACAGAACAAGGGGATAGTGCGTGGTTTAAAATCAGGAAAATTGTGCAATCTGTACGCTTAGCAAATAGTCCAAGAAGCTGGACTATAGTAAGAAGAAACTGGCGTCAGGATTGGAAGAAGACTCATTAACAATTTGCAGATGACACAACCTTGCTTGTGGAAAGGGAAGAGGACTTGAAGCACTTACTGATGAAGATCAAAGAACATAGCCTTCAGTATGGATTACACTTCAACACAGAGAAAACAAAAATTCTTACAACTGGACCAATAAGCAACATCATGATAAACAGAGAAAACACTCAAGTTGTCAAGGATTTCATTTTACTTGTATGCACAATCAATGCCCATGGAAGCAGCAGTCAAGAAATCAAATGATGTGTTTCAGTGGGCAAATCTGCTGCGAAAGACCTCTTTGCAGTGGTGGATAGCAAAGATGTCTCACTTTGAGGACTAAGATGCTCCTGACCCAATCATCACATTTTCAATCTCCTCATATGCATGCAAAAGCTGGACAATGAGTAAGGTAGACCAAATAAAAACTGATACCTTTGAATTATGGTGTTGGTGTAGAATATTGAATATACCACTGACTGCCATAAAAACGAACAAGTTTGTCTTCAAGGAGGTATAGCCAGAGTGCTCCTTGGAAGCAAGGATGGCAAGGCTTCATCTCACGTATTTTGGATGTGTTATCAGGAGGGACCAGTCTCCGGAGAAGGACATCATGCTTGGTAATGTAGAGGGTCAGGGAAAAAGAGGAAGACTCTCAACGAGATGGACTGACACAGTGGCTGCGACAACAGTTACAAGCATAATAACGATTGTGAGGATGGTGTAGAACCACGCAGTGTTTCGTTCTTTTGTACGAGTTGGAACCGACTTGACAACACCTAACAACGACGACAACGTTCTCATTTAGCCATAGGACAGTGAAAAAATTTGGCCCTGGCATTTCTGTCCCTGAAGAAATCTAGTTCTGATAGGTATGCTGCTGTTTTTAGAACATTACGCTTCTAATCTACTGATGAATTACCAGTAACGGGGTTTACTTGTCCATCTGAAAGCCATCATCCAGCCTTGCTTAGTAACAGCTCATGTCCCTCATGCCTCCCAATAATAACTCCCGTTCTAAGCGTTTCTCAAGTGCCATGGAGAGGAAGGAAGGGGCTGGCAAAGACATGGTCTCAGCGCTCCTGACGCAGAAAACCCAGAGGTGGACGGGCTTCCTCAGGCAGGGTCACAAGAGGGAGCTGCGTGGACTGTGACGCCTTGTCCAGCACTGAGGGTTTGTCTGGCCTCTGGCGCACAAGCCTGTGGGCAAACTGTACCTCAGTAAAAATAAATAAATAGATCTCATGTCCCTCGGTTGTGCTGCTGGTTGTAGGAAAGTGTCCATTTCATACTTTTTAAAAATTTCTGATAGCACCAAATTAGAAAAAAAAAAAAGTAAGCACATCTGCCAAGTATCCGAGGCCCTGACGCAGCCACCGGCACTCTCTAGATGGCCTTCCATGACCCCAGGAATAAAGTCTCGTGCTGCCCACGGCCCACATGGCCCTGCATGGTCTAGTCCACCCCACTCCACCAGCCGTCTCCTGACACAGCAAGCCGCTCCCACCTCAGGGCCTTTGCCTTCGTTACTCCCTGTGCTTGGACCCCTCCCCCAGATGTCCTCATGCCTCCTGACTTCTTTCCCATACGTCTCCATAGAAAGACAGCCACGACCACTGTATCTAGAATATAACCCCCTTCCCAACAATTTCTCCTTCACCTGTTTCTGTCACCTCTGTAGCACTCCTATCCCAACAGACATGCGGTCTGATGGAGCACTGAAGAGCACCATCTCCAGAGCAGACGACAGGGTCCGCTCCTGGGTCCCACCACCCACAACTAGCTGGGTCAGAACTTCTCCGTGCCTTGTCTGTAAAATGGGGATATTTACTGGCCCTATCTCTTGGGCCTGTAGGGAGAACTAACTGAGTTACTATAGTGTCTGCCATTTTTTAAAATGATGTGTTAGCTATCATCATTTTAGTTATCAACATCATTATTATCAACAGATATGACATTCCTTATTTATTTACTTATTTGCTATTATCAGACCTAGGACACTGCTGGCACAGAGTACCTGAAACCCGTTGCCCTCGAGTCAATTTTGACTCACAGTGACCCTATAGGACAGAGTAGAACTGACCCATACGACTTCCAAGGCTGTAAATCTTTATGGAAGCAGACAATCGCATCTTTCTCCCGCAGAGCGGCTAGTGGGTTCAAACCACTGTTCATTCGGTTAGCAGTCGAGTGCTTAACTACTGTGCCACCAGGGCTCCTTTGGCACATAGTAAGTATTTTAAAAATAATTGTTGATACACAAAAACTAACTCAAAATGGATCAAAGACCCAAATGTTAAACCTAAATCTATAAAGTTCATGGAAGAAATATAGGGACAAAGCTAGAGGCCCTAACTTATGGCATAAACAGACTGTCAAACATAACTAAAAATATACAAACAGCAGAAGATAAACTAGATAACTGAGATCTCCTAAAAATTAAACACTTATGTTCATCAAAAGACTTCACCAAAAATGTAAACAGAGAAGCTACATACTAGGAAAAAATTTCTGTCTATGACATATCCAACAAGGGTCTAATCTCTAAAATTTATAGAAAACTTCAACACCTCAACAACAAAAAGATAAACAATCCAATTAAAAAATGGGCAAAGGACATGAATAGACACTTTACCAAAGAAGACATTCAGGCGGCTAACAAACATGAAGAGATGCTCCTGATCATTAGCCATTAAAAAAAAAACAAATCAAACGCATTGCCAATAAGTGGATTCCAATTCAAAGCAATCCTATAGGACAGAGTAGAACTACCCCTTAGGGTTTCCAAGCAGCACCTGGTAGATTTGAACTACTGACCTTTTGGTTGGCAGCCGTAGCTATTAACCACTATGCCACCCGGGTTTCCCATTAGCCGTTCCCATTGCTGACCCGTTGCTGTCGAGTCAATTCCGACTCATGACCCTACAGGACGAGCGGAACTGCCCCAAAGGGTTTCCAAGGAGTGCCTGGTGGATTCAAACTGCCAACCTTTCGCTAGTAACCATAGCTCTTAACCACTATGCCACCAGGGTTTCCTAGTTTCCAAGGAACGCCTGGCGGATTTGAACTGCCGACCTTTTGGTTAGCAGCCGTAGCACTTAACCACTACACCATTAGAGAGATGTAAATCAAAACTACAACGAGATAACATCTCACCCCTGTGAAAATGGTACTGATCAAAAAAACAAAACAACAAATGCTGGTGAGGTTGTGGGGAGACCAGAACTCATACACTGCTGGTGGGACTGTAAAACAGTACAATCACTGTGGAAAACGGTATGGCGCTTCCTTAAAAAGGTAGAAATAGCAATACCATATGAACCTGCAATCCTACTCCTAGGAATATATCCTAGAGAAATAAGAGCTGTCACACAAATAGACATACGCACACCCATGTTCATTGCAGCATTATTCATAATAGCAAAAAGATGGAAAGAACGTAAGTGTCTATCAGTGGATGAATGGATAAACAAATTGTGGTACATACACATACAACAGAATACTATGAAACGCTCAAGGATAATAATGAATCCGAGAAACATCTCACAACACAGATGAGTCTGGAGAACATTATGCTGAGTGAAATAAGTCAATCACAAAAGGACAAATATTTCATGAGACCACTATTATAAAAACCCAGGAAAAGGTTCTCACACTGAAAAAAACAATCTTTGATGGCTACAAGAGAGGGCAGGGGTAGGGAGGAAAAAAATCACTAACTAGATAGTAGACAAGTGTTAACTTCGGTGAAGTGAAAGACAACATACAATATAGGCGAAGTCAGCAAAACTTGAACAAGGCAAAGTCATAGAAGCTTCCTAGACACATCCAAACACCTTGAGGGATTGAGTTACTGGGGCTGAGGAATGGGGACCATGGTCTCGGGGGACATCTAGGTCAATTGGCATAACATAGGTCATAAAGAAAATGGTCTACATCCTACTTTGATGAGTAGCATCTGGGGTCTTAAAAGCTTGTGAATGGCCGGCCATCGAAAATACATCTATTGGTCCCATCATGTCCGGAGCAAAGAAGAATGAAGAAAACCAAAGATACAAGGAAAATATTAGATATTAGTCCAAACAACTAATGGACCACACGAACCACAGCCTCCATCAGCCTGAGCCCAGAATAAATAGATGGTGCCTGGCTACCACCACCAACTGCTCTGACAGTGATCAAAATACAGGTCCTGGACAGGGCAGAAGAAAAACGTAGAAAACTCAAATTCACAAAAAAAGACCATGCTTACTGGTATGACAGAGACAGGAGGAACCCCTGAGACTATGGCCCCAGATACCCTGCTAACTCAGAACTGAAGCCACTCCCAAAGTCCATCTTTCAGTCAAAGATTAGACAGGCCTATAAAACAAAGAATAACACACGTGAGGAACACGCTTCTTAGTTCAATCAAGTCGACGAGACCAAATGGGCAACACCTGCCCAAAAGCAAAGAGGAGAAGGCAGGAAGGGACAGGAAAGCTGGACAAACAGACATGGAGAACCCAGAGTGGAAAGGGAAAGGGAAGAGTGCTGACACATTGCGGGGATTGCAAGCAATGTCACAAAACAATTTGTGTATAAATTTTTGAATGAAAAACTAATTTGCTCTGTAAACTTTCACCTAAAACATAATAAAATTTTTTTAAAAGAAAAAAAAAACTTTACAGAAAAGTCAAGAATAGGTTTACACACAGAAAGAAACCGTCTTTGATGGTTACCAGGGATGGGAGGAGGCAGGAGGAAGAATCATTAACTAGACAGTAAAACCAAACCCATTGTCATTGAGTCAATTCCATCTCATTGTGACCCTACAGGACAGAGCAGAACTGCCCCACAGAGTTTCCAAGGAGTGGCTGGTGGATTCAAACTGCTGACCTTTTGGTTAGCAGCCAAGCTCTTAACCACTGTGCCACTAGGGCTCCAACTAGATAGTAGACATGTGTTAAATCTTGTGAAGAAAAAGGCAATACACGATATGGCGGGAAGTCAGCACAACGTGACCAAGGAAAGACACTGAGAGGTATGCAAGAATAAAGGGCAACTATGGTAAATACTATAAAATATACAATCCTACAACAACAGTAACAACAAACAATAATTTGTGAGTGGATATGTACACTAAAAAGGTATGGGAGGACACACGGGAGTACACTCACATGCATATATTGCTATGGTTGTGGATATTTCTACATCCATATTTGTATGTGCTGTATGTATATTCACATACATAATAGAGCACACAGGGGGCACAGTTATGCAAACTTCTTCGACGTAACCAAACATCTCGCGTGACTGAGCTACGGGGCTTGAAGGCTAAAGACCATAGCTTTGGGGGACATCTAGGTCAATGGGCATAGCATAGTTCATAAAGATACTGTTCTGCATCCTAGTTTGGCGAGCAGCATCTGGGGTCTTAAAAGCTTGCAAGAGGCCACCTAAGGTACAACTATGGGTCTCTTTCCATCTGAAGCAGAGAACAGTGAAGAAAACCGAAGCCTCAAGGAAGCAATTAGTCCAAAGGACTAACAGACCACATGAACTACAGCCTCTGCTAGCCTGAGACCAGAAGAACTAGATAGTGCCTGGCTACCACTACCAACCATTCTGATTAGGAACACAATAAAAGCCCTGGTTAGAAAGGGTGAAAAATGTAGACAAAATTCAAATTCATAAAAAAGACCAGAGTTACTGGTCTGGTTGAGACTGGAGGAACCCCCGAGACCACTGCCTTAAGACACCCTTCTAACTCGGAACTGAAGCCACTCCCGGAGGCCACCGTTTAGCCAAACAATAGACTAGCCTATAAAATAAACAATACCGCCTGTGAGGAATGTGCTGCTTAGACCAATCAACTCTACAAGACCAAAACGGCAACAACTGCCCAAAAGCAAAGATGAGAAGGCAGGGAGGGGCAGGGAAAGGAGAAGAATGGAAACGGGGAACCCAGTGTGGAAACCGGGAGAGTGCTGACACATTGCAGGGATTACAACTAATGTCATGGAACAATCTGTGTTATGAATTATTGAATGGAAAACTAATTTGCTGTGTAAACTTTCACCTAAAGCACAATAAAATGTTAAAAAAAAAAAAACCTTCCAAAAGGATGAGCAAACTAAATACAAGTTGAATGAACGCACGTGTAAACTTGTAGCTTATCATACTAACTTATCATTTTGAATCTGTCAGCCTTTGGAACCCTGTAGATTTGAGAAGGAATCCTAAGCAATTTACTTAACCTCCCAGAGTCTCAAGTCCTTCACCGGTAAAATGAGGGTAAAAACTTCACCGGCTGTAGTCAAGAGTATGTGACGTGATTAGGTAGTGTGCAATGCTTAGCTTGCAGTAAACGCTCAACAAACAGCACAAATTCTCATTCTTAAAGAAAAACACTAACACCAAAGTGAGGCAAAGGGACAGAAACTTGGAAGCATCTGAAATGGCCCATCCTAGTGAGCTATGAGTTGGAATCGACTCGACGGCAACGGGGTTTGGTTTTTCAGTTTCAGTGAGCTCTGAGCAAACCCTGGGGAGCTGGTTTTGAGCCAAGATGCTTGTTTTTTTAAACTAGTGACCTAGCTCATGTCTTGCTGCTTCATCGTGGCTCTGGAACATAACAAAATCCACGACCATAACCAGGAGATATCAAAATCCATAAGTCCATGACCACAACCAGGACGTAACAAAGTCCCCGACCACAACCAGGACATAACAGTCTCCGACCACAACCAGGACGTAACGAAGTCCCCGACCACAACCAGGACGTAACGAAGTCCCCGACCACAACCAGGACGTGACGAAGTCCCTGGC